ATATATTGAGCATATGAATTAAGTTGAGCATTATGTATGAATGAGTTGATTTCATAATTGAATATGTTGAAATAGTGGACCATAAATGCTAACACAAACACTAAATTTACATTCTTGGATCAAATTTAGAATAGTTTGGAGGGATTTCACTGTTGTATGAAGATGTTGAGATAAATAGAGATTTCATGTGTGAAATTAAAAAATATAGTGTGGATTATCTAAGGTCAATATGATGCAATTTTGTGAAAATCTCAAGTTAGATGTCGTTTTACTTGAATTGGTGTTAAATAAGGAACATTGGACTAATCAAGGCAATAAAAATATTTTATTAAAAAATTTCTCTTCGTAGCCTTTATGACTCGAACAATTAAGCCTACAAAGAAATTTAAAATATAGTGCTCTATGGTCATCTTGCTTGAGAGTTATCGATTGAAAGATTGTTACATGGGTCATTTAGAAAGGTTAAGGGAGAGAACGCTTCAAATAAAGAAAAAAATATTAAAAAAAAAAAAATTCAGAAAAATCAGGTATATGAAATAGAAGACGCATCAAATGGCTTAGTTAAGTCTCAAACACTTGTCTAAGAAAGTGCGACTTTTGATAAGAGATTGTTAGCCTAATTAAGTTCTAGAGATTAAAGCAATCAAATTTAATGGAGAATAATTGTTTATTGAAATGTTGAACTGCAATTGGTGAAATTTTGCTAAACTAGAGAGGTAAGGATAGTAAAAAAATCAAACCTTAGTTAACACCTTGGAAAAAAGTGAAAAGAATAAGTTTGGTGTGTGTGAGTTTTATGAGTGATGAAAGACTATATTTGACCACTGAAGGTCGAGAATTGAAACAACACATGAATTCATAAATGCTATGTGCTTAATTTTTCTCACACACACACACACATCGATTTTATATTGAAAAAATGAATTTTAATTTTTGTATTGTGATTTTGAAGTTGTGCATAGATTTGTTATTATGATTTCAATTTCGAGATAAAAATTTAGGTTAACTAGTTAAATCTTGTTGCTTTACTTGATTGATTGACCACCAATTAGATAATTAACATTGCTTGTTTGTGTATTTGCCAGGTTTTAATTTTATTTGAGGACAAACAAATATTCAAGTTTTGGGGTATGATAAGTGTAGTTTCTACATTTATTCAAGGCTTTAAAACATGATATTTTATTGTCTTTTTGATAAAATTCTACCTAATTTATGTTATATTGTAAGTAAAAATTTATGTTTGATGAAGAATTGAAAAAAAATGCAAAAGTGGCAAAAAAAATAACAAAATTTAAAGATGAAATGTTGGAGAGAAATATTACATTAAATGAGTTTAAGTCAAATAAGTCTCAATAGACTTTTATTTAAAGTTTTAATTTGAGGCTCGAAAATGAAAAAAAAAACAAAAAGAAGAAGAGAGACAAGAAAACAAGAAAAGTCATGCGTAGAGAAAGAAAGGTAAGAGAAAAAGAAAAAAACGAAAAGAAAGAAAAAAGAAGAAGAAAATAAAAGGAACCACAAACACCAGAAATTTTCACGTTCCTTCAATTTTTGGTAATATCTTTCCACTTTTGCGTGTTTTTATTTTTATAATATGAATAATTAATTTTTATATTANTTTTTCCAGCATGAATAATTAATTTTTATATTAGGGAATACAATTTAGTCGACTTGTGATCCTTTATTTTTATATTCAAGATTTATGTGGTTTATTTATCGATGTGTTGATTTTATTATGAATTTAATGCATTAAATTACCTGATCAATAATTTGATTATTATGTGAGTCTCTTACGAATCGAGAGATGAGTTTGAGATTTAGACCATATAATAAAATCTGGTAAATTAATATAACATGTAGAGATATCTATATTAATTATTGCTGTCATAATATAAATTTTTTGAACTAGTGTTTCGTTTACTAAAGTTGATTCACATAGAGATATGAAATTTAATTAGTTAAATAGGTTCAATGAGAACTCAAAATGGGCGAATTGAATATAATAGAAGAATTCGATCGAATACTATATTAGGTTATGAATCTTGAATTAAGAATAAAAGTTATCAATAGATGAAATTGTTATTCCCTATTATTCATCACATATTTGAATTTTCAATTATCCATTGTTTGCAATCATTTTATACTTTTAATTAGTTAAAAGTAGTTAAGAAAAATAATCACAACTATCATAATTATTTACTCGCTTTTTGTCAAATAGAAGTTAGAAAAATTAGATTAAGTCCTAAAGTATAATATTTGTGAGGACGCACTATAGTCTTCGTGAGTTTCACTTTTTGGATCTTTCCCATATTCCTTTGACTGTTTATTGGGTTTGATTACGAGGTTTTTAGTATGTAAGGCTATAATACATTTGACAATATATTTACAATTTCTACTACTTTAATTTAGTACAATAGTGTACAATTCAATTGGACAAAATTCTGGTTGTTAGGCTTGATGGTTGTGTTTTTATATAAAATATTGTACTAACATTTCCAAATGTTGCAGGTAAAACCCTTCTTGACGGTTTTCATCCACAATTCCGTCAGTTGACCAAACAAAAGAAAGTTACTCTTTGACCCCTTTTTAAAATATTTAAAATGTGGTTAAAATTATATTTCTAGTCAACTGATGGAATTGTGGATGAAAACTATCTAGAAGGGTTTCACTTGCAACATTTAGAAAAGTTAGGGGTGACAATTGTAACAAATCAAAGGTTTAGGGAAAATTTGCTAGTGTTTCAAAAGTTTGGGACTTTTCCTGCAATTATCCCTTAATTGGATGAGAAAATAATTTTGCTGTAAATAAAAATTGCTACAGTAACTTATGTGAATTGTGACTTTTCACAAAATGTATTTGGAAGTCAACGAGTCTCCGTATGAATTGAGCCAGCAACTTGCTGCTTTAAGATATGTTGTATTTGGTAAAGAATAAAGGGATTATAGATTGACTTGGGGAGACCGCAGACCTATAAATGAGCCTAAAGTTAAGATCAAATTCATCCAAAGGTGCATAAAAAGAATATAGGCGAATTTATGGTAACGAAGAATTAATTTAAGAAATGGCGGACGAAGCTGCAGTGGGTTTTTTGCTAGAAAACTTAAAGCAGCTACTTCTTTACAATGCACATCTGATTCTTGACGTGAAGAGCGAAGTCGAATCTCTGCACATTGATCTGCAATTGTTCAAAGCCTTTCTCAAAGACATGGCAAAAAGGGACAACAACCATGAAGTCCTAAATACACTGGTGAAGCAAATCAGAGACATTGTGTACGAAGCAGAAGATTATGTGGACATGTATGTTTCTCATTCAGCTATGCAGAAGGCCCGAAGTGGCTTAAAAAAAGTTGTCCATATATTCGATCATACGACGAAGCTTCGAAATACGGCGGTAGATATTAAGTCGATGAGGGTCAAGGTCAAGGAAATCTATCAAGACAAGAAGTTTGGATTTGAAGCCCTGCTAGTTGCTGCTCCTCCCGTCAAAAAGAAAGAGGTAAATTGCCATTACTCTGATCAGTGAGTTTAATTGATCATTTTAGTTGGTGATTGTGTTTACGATTTATCAGTTCCGAGCATGTTTGGCTAAGCATAATAAAAACTTGGTAATGTGTTAAGGGAAAAAAAAATGAAAAAAAAAAAAAGTCAATACTGGGCATCTCGAGTGAATCTGGATATTAGAAATTAGGGGAGTCTTGTTGAATACATGGAATATTAAGTTGACCTTCTTAATTATCATACCTCTTTTGCTGTTTCAAGAATTAATTCATTTTGATACTAATTCAGAAAATATAATTTAGGGCCAGCTTTTGCTTCCAGTAGAAAAGTTTCATAAGAACAATTTTCTGGAAAAGCTCTTCTAAACAATTTGAGAAATATGTTTTAAAGTAGTTTCTTAATCGCAAAAGCGGTTTTTATCTTTTTCAAATCCATGCCAAACAGACCTTTACTATCTACGACCCTTACTCTCTACATAATTCATTGTCATTTATATGTGTCATTAAAATATATGACTAATAAAGCATGTTTCATTTTTATACATTTAATTAGTGAGTAATAATATCCATCATTAGTAGATATACATTACTAGTAACGTAGCAATGGATCCCTTGCTTCATTCTTTAATGTATTAAAATGCATCACATCTCTAATGGACAATGAATCAAGATTCCATTGCTACCTAACCGATGAAGCGACTCTACTAATGACAAATAACACTGTTCTTAATCAATATTATCATTTTATGCCACATTACAGGTGATGATCACTGTTGAGAAAATTGGCATTATTCTTTCTAATATTGATCCCAAAATCTCTCTTTTATAGTGTATCTTCAAACAATTGCACAACTACGGGTGTATTTGAGCCCCATTTTTTTTTTGAAAGAATGTGTTTTTTTAGTAGTGTTTTTTTTTGTTTTTTTGAGAATGTGGTTAAAAAGTAAGGAAAAGTTTTATATTTACATATAAAATTATTTTATTGGGATAAAATTATTTTATTGGGATAATAGTGAAGTGTGTACTACTCTACTAATTTTATTACAGTCTTGAACGATAGTAGTCTACATTTTATATCAGTATTAGAACAATTCTTGCTCACATATATTAAAGGATCCAATTGTACCTCAACTGATTATTGCTCTTTATATTACAGGCTCCCATTGTGGAAGACAATGTTGTGGGCTTTGAAGATGAGGCTGAAAAAGTAACCAAACTTCTCACTGAAGGACCTGAGGAACTACAAGTTATATCAATAGTTGGCATGGCAGGTCTTGGAAAGACAACGCTGGCTAAAATGATATATACTGATCCTGATGTTGAGTTTGAATTCTACAATCGTGCTTGGGTTTTTGTTTCTCAAAATTATAGTAGAAAGGAAGTGCTTCACGATATTCTAAGACAATTTACTAAGTCTAGCAAAGCTGACATGAATGAAGTCGAATTAGTCGATGAACTTCGTACATTTTTGGAGAAAGGAAAATATTTAATTGTCATGGATGACGTGTGGACTAACACGGCTTGGGATGATTTAAAAACTGCGTTTCCTGAAAACAAGAAGAAGAGTAGAATTTTACTTACTTCTCGTATTGAGACAGTGGGTAAGTATGCCAACCCCAACATTGATCCTCATAAGTTGCGATTTCTAAATACTGAAGAAAGTAGGATTTTACTCCAGAGGAAGGCACTTGGATCAATGGAGTGCCCTGACGAGTTGAAAGACCATGAATTGCGCATTGTCAAGAAATGTAAAGGACTACCACTGGCAATAGTGGTGATTGGAGGAATTCTGCTAGGAAAAGGTAAGGAAAGCGATTCGTGGAAAAAAGTTGCTGAAAGTGTAGAGGCATTTATTAACATGGACGCGGAGAAAAAAATGGACCATTTTATAGGAATGAGTTTTGATCATTTACCTTATCACTTGAAAACATGTTTTCTCTACTTTGGGATATTTCCTGAAGACTTCCAAATTCCGGTGTGGAAACTGCTTCGCCTTTGGATCGCTGAAGGATTCATACAGCAGAGTGAAGGAATGAGCATGAGCCTGGAGGATATTGCTGAAGAGTACTTGGAGGATTTCATCAGCAGGAATTTAGTCATGGTTGGGCAAAGGAGGTTAAATGGCAAAGTTAAAACATGCCATATTCATGACATGCTACACGTGTTTTGCAAGAAACGAGCTGCACAAGAAAGCTTTTTCGTGGAAATAACACAGAGTAATCAAGGTACTTATTTATATTCCAACCCTGACCCCGAAAAGTGTCGTCGCCTTTCCATCAATTCCAAAATTTCTAACTTTCTCTCTTCAAAACCAACCGGTCCACGTGTTCGGTCTTTTTTGTGTTTCGCCCATGAAGAAATAACCTTGGAAAATGCGCAAAATTCTTCCATCCCTGCTGCATTTAAATTGCTCAGGGTGTTAGAGGCTAAACCCATCCATTTTACTCGTTTT